AAGATGATTATTTGAAAGATTCAACACAGAAAGTTGTGTCAAAGATACCAATTCATCTGGAATTTTCCCCGCCAGCTCGTTGGAAGAGAGATCCAACCATTCCAGATTCATCAAATTCCCTAGCGAAGGTGGGATATGACCAGTAAGGTTGTTATGAGAAAGATTAAGCCCTTTGAGAGAACTAAGGTTTCCAATAACATCTGGAATTTCTCCCTCAAACATGTTATTTGAGAGATGAATACTACTGAATACGGTCAGGATTCCCTGCAGCTCATAGTCGAATCCCTTCCATGTCACAACTAGTGAATATTGATAAGAATTGGCTACCGTCGACACCATCATGTATTTAGGGGAACCACCATCTTTGTGAGGGTCCATCATCGCATTAAAATTTTCAATATACCGAACAGGCAAAGCACCAACAAAATAATTGCTGGACAGGTCCAGAACACGCAACTTCGGAAAACATGGACTTTCTTTGGTGCTCTGCACAGAACCATGGAACTTGTTGGACCTTAAGACAAGCACTTGAAGGTCTGGTAGAGATTCCAACCAATGAGGAAATGTATCCTCTATGCTGTTGTTGCCGACGTCTAGAACCTCTAACATGCTACAATTCACCAAAGACCTTGGTAATAACCCGTCCATTTGATTTCCATGTAAGTTGAGATTTTGTAATCCACAGCCCTCTGGAAACCCAAATGGTATATTTCCATCAAAGTAATTGGCCTGCAAATTCAACACTGAGAGAAACTTAGGAAGACGATTTGGAATCTTCCCGATTAAATTGTTATGAGAAAGGTCAAGAATTCTGAGATGATCCTTTTCACATATCCATTCGGGAATATTTCCACGAATGCTATTTTTGGATAGCACTAGGCTTTGCAGACCATTTGAATGTCTTATGAAATTGGGGAATTCACTCAAGTTACAAGAAGAAAAGGAAACATAAGTTAGTTTGGGTAATGTGAAGTTGGCATTGACATTCATTCTCAAGGACAGATTATTGTCTGAAAGAAAGATGGTTTCCAGATTTTGAAGTGCCGAGAACATGTCAGCTTCTACTAAATCACTAAAATGATTTGATGATAAATCAAGATAACTAAGATTTACTAAAATAGCAATTGAGTTAGGAATTGAGCCCTGGAGTTTATTGTTTGACAAATCTAGGTGTGTGAGTGAATTTTGCTGGAATTGATTTATTTGACCTTGAAATTGGTTATGATTGAGATTCAAGTACTCTAACAAAGGTAGGGTGAAAATCCAAGGTGGCAACGTGCCATTAAGTAAGTTATAAGATAAGACTAGATACCTTAGTTTGGAAAACCTACTTGCATGAAAAGGAATGGGACCAGAAAACTGATTATTTGAAAGGCCAAGAGAGCTAAGTTGGGTGAGGTTTGCAAGTGATGGTGGGATTTGTCCGTTAAGATTGCTAGAAGAGAGGCCTAGGCTAGTAAGTTGCCTTAAGTTACCTATGGAAGCTGGAATGGGACCAAAAAACTGATTATTGGAAAGATGAAGAGAGGTAAGTTGGGTGAGGTTTGCAAGTGATGATGGGATTTGTCCGCTAAAATTGTTAGAAAAAAGGTCTAGGCTAGTAAGTTGCCTTAAGTTACCTATGGATGCTGGAATGGAACCTTCCAAGTTGCAGTGAAGAAGATTCAGATACTGTAATGACTTTAGATCTCCTATAGACTCCGGCAATCGCCTTCCGCAATCCATGAGAGATAAATACAAATGTTGGAGAGGACTGCTCCAATTGGAACTTGGAAGATCAATAGTGAGGTTTCCCTTTCCACCTAAACTAAATCTCTTTCCACTTAAACTAAATCTCTTGAGATTTGGAAAGCGAAAAATATTGTTTGGAAAGTTTCCTCTTAACTGACAAGAAAAAAGACGAAGAGTAGTCAAAGAAGAAGAGAGATTCATGAAGAAACAAGGATTAACAGAAGTCATGTTCACTCCATTAAGCACAAGTTCTCTCACCTCACTCAAGTTATGAACAAGATTTTTGAAGGTAGTTGTTTCAAGGATCAAGTCAAAATTGGAGAGATTGAGAGAAACTAACTTGGGGAGGTGAGCAATTTCTGCTGGAACTTGGCTCGAAAATCGAGAAAAAGAGACATCAAGATGCTTTAGTCTAGTAAACTGACTGATTTCCGATGGAATCTTGGAATGCCTAAAATCATTCAAGGAAAGATTGAGGCTCTGTAGGTTTTTGAGGAAGAAAAGAGTGCTGTTGGAAGGAAAGGTGCCATAAAGGAAACTACAGCTGAGATTAAGGGCAATTACATGGCCTGTGACATTATCACAGCTAACCCCATCCCAGGAACAACAGTCTATACCTTCCTTCCATGACTCAATCTTAGAATAATTAGGTTTAGTATCAAAATTATACCCACAATAATAAAGATTGAGAAAAGTGTAATTGATGGAGAAGGATGTCTTGAATTGCAGCAAAGCAAGAGCCTCCTCATGAGAGCAGAGATGCGTTGTTGAGAAGGAAGAAGCATGTATAGAGGATGAAAGGGCAGTTTTAAGACAGAGGAAGACAAAAAGGAGGCAGAGTGGTGCAGAGAGCTTTGTGAAGATCCTCATATCTTTGTTTGGCGCAATAGAGTACTCCAGAAGAGTATATATAGACTGTTTCAAATTAATGTATGCTAATAATTGAATATATTTTATCAAAACAAAAATAAAT